TTATTTATTTATTTATTTATTTATTTATTTATTTATTTATTTATTTATTTATTTATTTATTTATTTATTTATTTATTTATTTATTTATTTATTTATTTATTTGTCATTAGGACATAGAACCTGTTGTTAATTTATTTGAATCCCACCACTGCTTCTCACCCATGATTTATTTATTGTGATGTATAGGGAGAGAACCTGTTTGAAGTCAGAAGCACAAAAACTAGTGGACGTCTGAAAGAAAGATTTCCTTCTGATAGTGGGAGTCTTAAAAGGTTTGAATCATGGATTGGTTGTAATAAACGTGGTTGTTCTATTTAATTGATTTTCCTGCCAGTAGAATTAAATAAATAAAAGGAACCTTCCCTGTGAATTACTGGAGGCGGCTGAGACTCAGTTTGAATCTAATTGCTGCAAATGTGCCAGTTTGTTGCTGGTAATAGTTATTATAAAAGATCTCTCTCTCTCTTTCTCTCCCTTCCTTTCTCAGTCTGTGGTGGGAAAGAGGGAGGATTTGAGTATGAGCTGTTAGCAGCGGCATGTGAGTATGAGCTGCTATTAGGATGGTGCTCCTACCTCCTTTATCAACACACACTCACTCGCTCAGACTAACTATCCTCTGACTGCTCTGTATGTAGCCTCTGTTCAGAAGTGTTTTATTCCTATTTAATTGCTGGCTTGCTACAACTCCCATGTTTAATTGTTGTGCTAAAAAGTAAGATATGAAAACGTTCTTGTGTTCAACTCTCTCTCTTTTTTGCATATATTATATGTTTCTCGACCGCTGGCCCTGTGGTGTGTGTGTGTGTGTGTGTGTGTGTGTGTGTGTGTGTGTGAGAGAGAGAGAGAGAGAGAGAGAGAGTTCCCCCCCCCCACAGTTTAAAGTTTTGAGGGAGTACTCATGTTAGTTTGTTGAAGTACTGTATAAACAACCAAGTTTTGAGGCATCTTGAAGACCAGCACATTTTATTTGGCATATTCGTTTGTGGACTCTAGCTCAGTTTTTCAGATGCATATAGAGCTCAGGGAATTCTGCCGTACTTAGAACTGTGACAGGATTAAACCTGGGGTCCATGTATGATCCAAGAACAAAGTCCTTTCATTTTATGATCTTCTATCTAAGCCTAAGGCTAAAAACAACTGATCTTGACACGTCAGTCCCTTCATTTCGAAATCTTGTGTCCAAGAACAGAGTTCCTTCATTTTCTCACCCCACTGTTGTCCAAGAAGCTCCTTTCTCGTTGTTGGAATTTTGAGTGAACCACAATGTGATCTGCTTTTGCATGTGACAGAGGCATTCCCCGGTGGTCCTTCTTCCTTGTGCTTTCCTTATTTTATTTTAATTTATTTGCATGTCACCTTTCCCCTAGTAAGGGGACTTCACAGAGAAGTCTTGAAAAAATCTAGTTTTCTGTTCATGTCAAGGCCTAGTATGGGCAACCTGTGGCCTTCCAGATGTTGCTGCACTGCAACTCCCTCCAGACGTAGCCAGCAGAATTAATGGTGAGGGATGCTGAGAGTCACAATCCAGCTCCATCCAGAGAGCCACAAGTTTTCCACCTCTTGTCGAGGCACACCAGAGAGGGAAAGACTGTGCTCCAGCTTCTCTGTTTCCCATGAAAACTAAAAAGGGAAGAATGTAAATGTATTCTCGATTGTGTTCTTGAAGATGCCAGCCACAGAGACTGGGGAACCCACAACAACCAATTTAAATGTATTTCAATAGAAGTATCTGCATAAATATAAGTGGTTGATTAAGCATTCCTTCATTTCTTTCATGTCTCCTTTCCCTGAGGGAAGTACCTCCTTCCCCCCAAACACCTATAATCACAAAGGCATCTGCCTTATCAGTAACATCAAAGATTAAGAAAAAGAGCTCTTTATATTTTTTTTTCAAAACAGCACACCTATTTATCTTAAGTTTCCAATTTTTAAAATTTGTGGAAGATTCATGCTTGTCTTTCCCCAAGATCATCTGTCTGCACCACCAGATCCTCTCAGCAATGCTCCTCTGGGTGACCAGGCGGAAGGAGGCCAGGAAAACATCTACAGTGGTGCCTCGCATAACGATGTTAATTGGTTCCATTAAAAACATTGTTATGTGAAAACATTGTTAAGCGAAACACCATTTCCCATAGGAATGCATTGAAAACCAGTTAATCCGTTCCAATAGGAGCCTATTCAATACATTTCAATGGTGAAAAAAAATCACCAAAAATTCAAAAAGACTCAGAACGAAGCCAAATTACTTTAACGAAGGTTTTATTAGGTGCACTAATGATTCAAAGCATGTTAAACATTTTTTAAACATTTTAGAATATTTTTAAAATAGCGAAAACAGGGCTGTGAAAAAAAACATTAAGCGAAACAGGGGACCTAAAACTGTCATCGTTAAGTGAAGCAAGGTCCCAAACATCGTTATGCGAAAATCCCCCATAGGAAACATCGTTAGGTGAGGCGGCTAAATTTCTAGCAAAGGCCATCGTTATACAAATTCATCGTTGAGTGAGGCACTCGTTAAGTGAGGCACCACTGTACTAGGAAACTGGCCTTCTCAGTTATAACACCAGACCTTTTGAACTGGCTCCCAGTTGAGCTGTGCCTGCCTATCTTTGAGAGGCTGCTGAAGACGCAGCTCTTCATAGAAACCTTTGATAGCAACCTGGCATGGATTTTCTTTTGCCTTGTGCCCTGCCATCTGTTGTGGGTTTGTGGTACTTGATCTTATCTGACTGGTTTTTATTTTTATGACTTTCACTACATGTTACTTTTGCTATTGTTGTTTGATTTCACCATTTCTTAACCTCCCAGTATAGTGCCTCACACTATCCTGAAATAAATAAATAAATGTATAGAAAATAGAATATCTTATATATGTTACATATGGCCATTTTATGTTTGATAGATAACTCTTTCAATACATATAAACTTAATATACTTGAATACACTTTCTTCCCATCGCCAGTGAGTTCCACCTTAATTAAATGTTTGACTTTTAAAAACATATTCTGATCAATAAAATACTTTATATGTTTCTCTTAAATTATAGTTACAAAACTCAGACAATTTTATTTATCAAAACTGCAGTCCTGAATGTATTTATTTATGTATATTTATTTATTTAATTTATATGCCACCCACACTACCCAAAAGTCTCTGAATGTATCTATTCAAAGGAACGTCCCTTTTAATTCAGTTGAGCTTACTCCTGAGCAAATTTTTATAGGATTGCAGCATAAAATTTATTAAGTGAATAAACAGAGATGACCTTAATCATCTTTTCTTCATGTTAGTAAAGGTAAAGGTTCCCCTTGACAATTTTGTCCAGTCATGTCCGACTCTAGGCGGCGGTGCTCATCTCTGTTTCCAACCCATAGAGCTAGCATTTATCCTCTGGTAGATTCAGTATATAGTTTTTCAAGAAATAACCCCCCCCCCCAATAACTATGATTTTGTTTTCTGGCACACATCATGAGTCAGCTCTCCACATTTCCAAGTGATGTGTTCTTTGCAAAAAAAACAATATATTTCTTACCACCTGTGATACAGAATGGAAGCTGACAGTTTATACATTCCTGCAATCCTAACAGCTTTTCTTCTTTTTCACCTTGCAGATTAATGACTTGTTTGTAAGTTTTGACACTGCCCCATTAGGGGCAGCATCGCTGGCTCAAGTCCATAAGGCTGTGCTAAAGGATGGGAGGACAGTTGCAGTGAAAGTCCAGCATCCTAAGGTTCAGGCACAGAGCTCTAAGGATATTCTACTGATGGAGGTAAATCCATATCCTTCCATGACTACCTTTACAGAATACTCTCTATATTTATGCAATAGGTATCTTACCAGCTTTAGCACAAGCAGGCTCAAAAACTGGAAGGCTTCTTCAGTTCTCTGCTGACACTGTGGTTCTATTGTTTTAGCGAGGTTGTCTTTGGTTTGTTATGTGCCTGGCAAACTAGGTTCCAGAGGTTTTCAGTGCCTTATAAATAAAACAAATATGGATTGGCATGCGGGGGGAGTTATATTAAAAACAAGAGATTGTACTAAAGTAGGTTTTACATTTTCAAGTTGGATTTCTGCACTTTTTTGTTTGTATGTTATATAGCTGATTTGTTCATATGTGATATCAGTATGCTATTAGTTAACTGTATTAAATGAAAATAAAACAAGCAAGAAAACAACTGTATGCATCACACATGCATCCACACATGCAGGTATATGCACATACACCATATTTCTTTCTGTTGTACTACATGACACTTTATAAAGGAATATCAGTGGATCAATCACATAAAGGACTTCTAGATGGGAGGGTAAAATCACATCAGGAGAATCACTTATATGTCTTTATTGGCTACATCACCCAATATCTACACCTGGGATCTTGGTGAGAGCTGCAAAATTCCTACAGACTATAGCAGCCTTCACCAGCGTTAGGCACTCCAGATGATATAGACAACATCTAGGGGTGTTATCATATGGATGAAATAATACAGATTTTGATTCTAAAAAGTGGCTGTGTCCCGAATTCAAAGTCTCAAAACAGAAAATATTTTTTCCCCTCAGAACTTTAGGGGCAGTTTAAGAAATGTTCACAGATCACGGGGTACACATTCACCCCAGTTTATATATCTTGCAGATGCCTTTATTCTGTTAAAACTCTGCTCCATCAAATGTTGGTGGGGTGGGAACCAAAAGAAATATATAGGCGAGGAAAGATGGCTTTCCTGCATGTGCCACTTGTATCCCTGCAGCCCCTCTCCCCAAGATCATTTTTGCCTAGCTGAGATCACATATTGGCTGAAAGAGAAACTGCCCAGGAAGAAAAAAACATCAGTGCTAAGCTGCAGATGTGGCAAAGGGCTGCAGATGTTTCACATGTACTGTATGTCCCCTTTCCTGTTAAAACCAGGCCATCCCTTTTTCATGTGGGTTGTTTTGTGTTTAAACTATTCAATTCCTATGTATACAGTGTTGTTCTGTGATTGTCACTGTATTGTCACCCAAGATCTCATTGGAAACGTTACTCTTTGCCTGGTTTCAGATCCTAACCTTGGCTGTAAAACAGATCTTCCCAGACTTTGAGTTCATGTGGCTAGTAGAGGAAGCTAAGAAGAACTTGCCACTCGAGCTGGACTTCCTTAATGAGGGAAGGAATGCTGAAAAGGTGTCCCACATGTTAAGGTCCTTTGACTTTCTAAAGGTAGGCTGTCTGTCTTTGTGTGTTCATCTGGATGGGATTAATACTGGTATTCACTGGAAATAGTGTATCACAATTTTTTTTAATGTGAGGACGAACATCAAACGAATTTGGTTCCAAAGAGAATGTGATTCTTCTGAAGCTGTTTCAGATTGGGGCAGAATAGGAGGGAGAGAGGAGAGTCTTAACTTTGACCTGGATACATCAACTCTAGGTGCTCATTTTGATAACCAGTGCCATAGCAACAGCTGGAATACTGCTGAAGCACTCCTGTTTTAAAGTGCAGCTCAGTAATTTCTGTAGTGTCCGATTATTTCAGCATTGGCTCCAAAGCCCCATGTATGTGCAGTCTTCCAGGACAGGTGGTTTCTGGTAGTGGAATGGTCTCTTTGGACCCTCAGTATGCTGTCTTGAATCACCTGGTGAAGAATTGGCTACATATTCTAACTCAAAGAATTCTAGGATACTAACCAGTAATTCAAAATCAGTGCCAGGACCAGATGATGTAAAAGTGTGAACACTGGATCAACCTGACAAGTTGGTTAAAGCTGTAAGGATATTTTATAAAAACAAATATGTTGCAGAAGAAGTGTTTAGCTGCTATCATATTCTGCTGGTACTGATACTACACAGATGCCATTACCAGTTTGTGCTGAAGTGTAATTACGCATGACACCAGAATCAGCCTTGTAGCTAAAAACATGTTTGCAAAGTAGTTTTCTGCATCTCTGATTTAGTACGGCTTCCCTCACTGTGATGCCCTTCAGATACATTGGAGCATAATTCACATGGTTCTTAGCTATCCAGCTGAGAATGAATAGAAGTGTAGTACAGTACATTGCATTTGGAGGGTACAGGGTTCAGGGGGGCTTGATTTCATGCTCTGGAACTTAACCCAGACTTACTAAGGGAATGTCTAAAGAATTCCTTTTGTCCATTGTCATCCAAAGAGAGAGGCAGTCAGGTAGCTAGGCCTGAAACTAGTCTAATGTTCTTTCTTGTGTAGTGCCAGAGTAATTCAGGAGAAATACACAACAGGAGCATCTTCAGGCATAGGAAATGCAGTTCTTACTGAACACATTTCTGAATAGTTTGGTATCTCCACACAAGGCTGAAAAGCAGGGAATTTTATTAGTTAATTAATCTCTCCTTCTGATCATCTTCTCTTGAGTGGCTGCTGCTCCTTGGGACTGATTTCAAGGTTTTTACACTCTCTGAACTTACTCTTATCTAAACTACTGGGCCATCGGAGCCTACCTTTTATGAGTTTCTCTGGATAATGGAAAAGAGATTGAAATGAAACTGTTAAGAGCAGGTGGAAGGAAGCAAATAGATCAGAAGGAAGCTTAGCTCTGGAGAAAGGGAAGGAAGTCACTTTTTATAAAGTATGAAAAGGAATGCATTTTTTGATGTTTTCTCAGTGGTCCATCTCCATGAATGCATGCTCACTGCAACTAGAGTTTCCGTTTAGCTATTAATACGTTTAAAGAGTTGTGCCTACATCCCTCAGAGACAGGTTGGGTTTTGAATTTCCAAATTTTGCTCAGTCTAAGAAATCTAGACCTATAGCTTCCCACAGATTGCTGAGTGACATCTGTTGGAAAATTTCCAGCAAGGGAAAGGACTGTTTAGAGCAGGGGTCTCAAACATGCGGCCCAGGGGCCATTTGCGGCCCCCCAGATGATAGTTTGTGGCCCTCGCTTTGCCTGCCCCCCCAAAGCGCCCACACATCCTCTGCTGTCAAGAGTAAAAAAAAAGCCTTGCCTCGCTCGCCGGCTCTCTCCCAAGACACCACCTCTTGCACCCTCCATCCAGAACTGCAGCCTGCCAGCTGGCCCACCTGACTGTCGGCTAAGGAAATTCCTGGGCGGCTTCCTCGGGCTCTTGCTCCGCTTGGCGGAAAATCTGAGGCAGCCCAGCCTCACCCAGCCTCAGCCTCTAGTGGCCCCCAGGTAAATTGAGTTTAAAACCCCTGGTTTAGAGCATTGGTTCTATAGTTGAATTGGTCTTACTATCAAGATTTTTCTGTATTCAACAATGATGTCCCCTCTTGTAAAGTAAGCAATTATGCCTGGTTTGTAGGGTAGCAGAGAACGATACTTTGCAGTGCTTTGTGTTACAGTTCTTCAGGTGTTTGAAAAGTGGTATTGTATCTCTCCTGTCTTTTCTTTTCTAGGCTAAATGTCATCTCCAAGGGGCATACAGTGAAATACATATTTTATATCACACACTCACCTGCATTTCTTCATATGTTTTTATACATGTAGTATTAATGCCTGCACGAACCTAGTTTACAAGCAAACACTCTTATGGAGGCATATAGTTGCCCGCAGAAGCACTCATGCAATTTGCTGCTGCCCTGTGTTCCTCCCATAAATCATCTGGAGAGTTATGTTCACCTGCCTAAAGGCACACAAGTATGTCTAGATTTGAAGGGCCTGAAGCTTCTTTCCTGTCTCTCCCTCTCTCAAACTCTGTAGGTGGCTAGCCAGCACCTTCCAGTCCTGAATGTAACTTCAGTGACACTCTGAAATATTCCTTTCCGTGTGTGTAATGTTAAGCAAACAGGCCTTAAAAGGGCACAAAAGGCCAAAGGCTGATGGCTTCTTCTAAGTGAATGTTTATTGAGAGCACTGCGCCTTGGAGAGCTGTGTCCGTTGCCTCTGTAACAACCAGGAGAGTGTGGAACAAATCCCCATGGAGACAGCCAATCACGTCCTTGCTGGGTTAAAGAGTCGTTGCAATATCGATTCAGGGAATAATAACAAATTGCTGCAAAAATGGCTAAATAATAGATTTCCCCTGTCTTGATTCCAAGACATTTTCATCGGCCCCAGAGGCATCAAAAGAGTTGGCTTCTGTTTGTGTGTGTCCGTCTTTCTGTCTGTGACTGCATGTGTGTGTGTCTATGCTTTTTCACAGGGATGGGAAAGAAAAATTCAGTAGCACAGCATGGAAGTGGATTTCTTACTGTGAACCCAGCTGAGCTTCTAAAGCCAGAGATAAATTGCTTCCATGCACAGGCATTAGGGCCAAACGTCTGTGCATAATTTAAGCTTGCCACAGACAATGACTCTACCCGAGTGAGACTTATACACAGCTTAATAACAACCATTGGCTGCTGTTGTAAATTCTGATACGGGGATAAATGTTGACTCAGGGTTAAAATAAGCTATGGCCTTTGAGATCAATGGATTTAAGGACCAGTACGTGGTAACAGCAGGGGCTGGGGGGGGGCTGTTAACATTGAGAATGGTATGCATTGGCAGTAAATTTTTAAAAGAAACTGAAAAAGGTTAGAAATGTTTCTTAGTAAAGCTGCAGGTCCAGGCATGTCCTCTTAATTCTGGAAATGTTGCTTCCTCTGGACTACCCTGTGGTTGGATGTGCTATACAGAACTGGTAGAAAGACTAGGAGAAGAAAGAGTGTACAGACCCAGGCTAAGGAAAGATGGCACAGAGATGTAAACGTTTTGGAATTTTGGAGTGAGATGTTGGCACCAGGTTCCAGAGACCGGGGTTCGAGTCCACCTCCATCCTAAATAGCCTCGGGCACTCCTAGCTATGGCTATACGTCATCTCTAGCCATTGTTTAGTTATGGGTTCTATATTCATAGAAGCTAATGGTGGAAATTGTTGCTTGTTTCTCATTGTGATAATATTTTTATTGCTGTTGTTTTTGATGGATTACATTTATATCCTGCCTTTCACCTTCAAAGTAGCACTCAGTGTAACTTACAATCTTCATAATAAAAGCAAATAAAATTAAATGTAACTATAAAATCATAAATAACATAAAATCAACCCCACTGTACAAGCTATTAAAATCAAGGAAGTGTGCAGTTAAAAACAACACAGCAGGACAGGTTAAACTTGACATGGCAGTCTGTGTTTTTACATAGTTCTTAGGATTAGTTGGAGTAGAGACTAATCATAAGGAGTGCCTTTCACAACCTGGGAGCTAAGGAACTGCTGCTAAAGTTCTAACCTTTCAATTCTGTTACCTTCTCAAAACTTGGATTTTCTATTTGTGGCTTCTATGCAAATAGGCAATTTGCCGTGGCAATTATAGAATGGAAATTGTGGCTTTGAAACCAAACCACCCAGTCCTATGGGGAAGGATTAGCTTTTCATGGAATATGTCTGAATCCGGGAGGTATTATCGGAGCAAAACTTTTTATGCAGCACTCTTAAAGAGAAGGACAGGTTTATAAGAAAGACATAGTTTCTAAAGGGTAAACTTAAAAGATAGACTTAAGCCCTCTCATTTGTGAGGGGTGTAGTTTCTTTCGAGATTCAACTGCTTGATAGAGCCAGTAAGTGCAAGATTTTTTGTTGCTGTTGACTTTAAAAAGCCACATGTTACCTTAGGCTATTCAGTAAAGACTGTCTTTTCCCAAAGTTGCCATCCACTGTAAAGCATATCCGTACTTTTTGTAAAGCAGAGACACTTCCAGGGAGAAAATACTGTTGATTAGCAAAATGTCATGATAGAAAACTCTCATCTCCATTTCCATGATTCAGTAAGAAATTCAGGTCACAGCTTAACCTCCTCCCTTACTCAAAACATGGACTCTTTATTGATGGACTCTTATTGTACCTTAATTTGAGTCCAAAGTAAAAATGATAGCATAATTCACTTGCTATTCTATTTCCTTTATAACACATCACTAGGAGTACAGAAGGGCTGAAATAGGACATAGGCTAGTTTTAGTGTTTCCAGAAACCAGATTTGAATTGCAGTCCTACTTTTCCATTTAGAATTTATAAGGAGGTATATTGCAGGTTTAGGAAAGTGTCTGTTCAGTACTGGGCCAGTAGAGACAGCTGAAAGATAGTTTACAAAACCAGATAGATGTAGCTATATAGGAAATAGGCAAAGGGTAATAAAATAAATAATCTAATTTGGCATTCCTTTTAACTTCCTTTCCCAGGAAGTTCCTTTGATATTTTCAAGATGCTCCTTTGAAATTCCATTTTTTCCAGGATTTTTTTTAAAAAAA